CCCGGATGCCTGAAATGATTATCTTCAATACATATATATTAAACCTTCTGGTTGCGATGCTTTTGACTGCCAAAGAGATTTTGGGGAAATCAAGCCTGAAGCAGAAGGCTTTGAATCTCCACCAAGAGACCGATAGCACCTCTGCAGAAGAACTTGCAAAGGCTTAAAGAGAGAAATACAACCAAATTGTAGCACCAATATTCAAAGTGTGGAATCCCGTGCAATTTCTCTCTTTAAGTAAATGCATGCCTTATTGCACTTCAGTGTTACAATCTCATAAGCTCATTGCATTTCAAGCGTCCATGAAAGGGAAATTAAGCATTTTTTAATGAAGGGGGAAATCGCTCAAAATGCCTCATTGTTTGAATTTTTAATGTAAAACCCTCCCCAAAGTGGTAAGAATGGAGTGTTCTCACATACATGAAGCAGTGATTGGAATAAATATTGTCAATATTCCAGACAAAGAGGAGTCTACTGTCTCCATTTAAGGAGAGCATCATGCAAAACTGCAGCAGGGGAGGTGAGAAAGAAACAAAGCACTCACTCTCTTGTTGACAAAGAAAGTCTTGGTTTGTTTTAGGGCAATGAAAATCAGGAAATGGATATAGTTGCAAACTTGCATTTAAAGCGCTTGAATTCGCTAGCTGGGTATAGTTTTGTTTCTCTTCCTCAAGCGCAGTTTGTTAATGCAGAAACAGACACACAAAATTATGTAGAGGTGACCACTCCCTTCACCACCACCGATTCTCTGTTTAGGTACGTGGCCCAGTAGACGAGGTTGAAGGTTCCAAAGAGGACAGGGAACACTATCCGCGACATCTTGTCTATCTTGCTGACGCTGTTGTAGGTCTTCTTGGCGTCTGGCACCTTGGTCTCGGCGGCGGCACGGAGTTGGACCGACGCCGTGTTGGAGATGGTGGAGACGGACACGTCCTTGGTGAGGTTGGGGGTGTAGTTGACGCCGGCCGAGCAGACGTTGTTGGGCTTCTTGGACAGCACCAAGGGGTCTCGTTTCTACAGTTGGGTAGATGACAATGAGCATTGAAATAGTTAGCAACTTCCTATAGCCTACTTATACGAGTGCTTTGTCTTATAACATGGATTAAGTGGTTTTCTTTAAGAACCAGTGTGACCAATTTAGTGTCAACAAGTGGTGTGATTGAAGATTGCAGCCAACTGACAACCACTCAACTTCAAAAATACCTTTATTCAACACAAAATGAGTACAGTTTTTTTAACATCATTTACAAACATGTTAGCTTAGCAGCAGTTTGCTTATTAGACCATGAAGATAGGAACCAGGAAAAAAGCTAGCTCGGTCGATCCAGTGGTTACACCACCTGCTACACACATTTAATAATAATTTATACTCTATTTATTCTGTGACGGGACGTGGACTAGCTACCAAGCCAATTTCCAGACTTGGTTGTGCTGGGACTTGAGCCAGCAACCCTCCGATTCCCAACCCAGGTGCCTACAGACTGAGCTACTGCTGCCCCAGCAATAAGCAAGTCAGTACACTATTGTACTGTCAACAACTAATGAACTGAATTCTGACGTCTCTGCGAGCTGATGTCAATATGGCGTAGAAAAAATGCCTCTTTCACGTCAAACCCGTCTGAAAGGTAAAGTCAACAGTGATGCCAACTTTGTGCTTTCTAGTGGATGACGTGTAATCAGTGCTTTAAAAGAAAACTTAGCACTGCATCGACATGTATTTTGGAGTTTACATTCTAGAGCCTGACTGATTTATTGGCCAGCCGATAATATCGGCCGATAGTAGCATATCAAGTGACTATCGGTATCGGCCATTTTATTGCAGATATGCGCCAATATTACTAGATTTATTCACCAGTCGAATTGCATTTAATTTGAGATTCATTGTATTACACTGGCAGTTCTCTTTCACCAGCAGAGGGTGCTATATTATTTCTTCATTATACTTTTTATCTCTGGATTTGAAGGATCGACACAATAAATCTATCTATCTATCTCTACAGATCGAACATAGACCTAAGAAAGATATCGGCCGATATATCAGTACCAGTTTTTTTCCCTCCATAATATCGATATCAGTATCAGACCTCAAAATTCCATATCGGTCGGACCCTTGTTTATTCCTACGCATGTAGATCAGTGCCAACAAACTGTACCTTTGGGTGCTGCGCTTCCATAGCCTTCTTGCCGTCCCAGGCCCAGCTCCTTTTGGTGAAGTAGTTCACTGTTGCGAACTCAATGAGGGCGGAAAAGACGAATGCATAACAGACGGCAATGAACCAATCCATGGCTGTGGCGTAGGCCACTTTGGGGAGCGAGTTCCTGGCGCTGATGCTGAGAGTGGTCATGGTCAGTACGGTGGTCACCCCTAAGAGCAAACAAAAGGTTGTGACAAATTACAGGACATTAGAGCCCTGTTTCAACCAAGCGGTCCGGTTTGGTTCAGTCCGGTTTGGTTCAGTACAGTTTGACTCAGTACAGTTTGACTCAGTACAGTTTGGCTCAGTCCGGTTTGGTTCTGTCCGGTTTGGTTCAGTCCGGTTTGGTTCAGTACAGTTTGGTTCATTACAGTTTGATTCAGTCCGGTTTGGTTCAGTACGGTTTGGTTCAGTACGGTTTGGTTCAGTCCGGTTTGGTTCAGTACAGTTTGGTTCAGTACAGTTTGGTTCAGTCCGGTTTGGTTCAGTACAGTTTGGTTCAGTCCGGTTTGGTTCAATACAGTTTGGTTCAGTCCGGTTTGGTTCAGTACAGTTTGGTTCAGTCCGGTTTGGTTCAGTACAGTTTGGTTCAGTCCGGTTTGGTTCAGTACAGTTTAGTTCAGTACAGTTTGGTTCAGTCCGGTTTGGTTCAATACAGTTTGGTTCAATACGGTTTGGTTCAGTACGGTTTGGTTCAGTACAGTTTGGTTCAGTACGGTTTGGTTCAGTACAGTTTGGTTCAGTACGGTTTGGTTCAATACAGTTTGGTTCAGTCCGGTTTGGTTCAGTACAGTTTGGTTCAGTTCGGTTTGGTTCAGTACAGTTTGGTTCAATACAGTTTGGTTCAGTCCGGTTTGGTACAGTACAGTTTGGTTCAGTACAGTTTGGGTCAGTCCGGTTTGGTTCAGTACAGTTTAGTTCAGTACAGTTTGGTTCAATGCAGTTTGGTTCAGTCCGGTTTGATTCAATGCAGTTTGGTTCAGTACAGTTTGGTTCAGTTCGGTTTGGTTCAGTACAGTTTGGTTCAGTACAGTTTGGTTCAGTACAGTTTGGTTCAATACGGTTTGGTTCAGTTCGGTTTGGTTCAGTACAGTTTGGTTCAGTACAGTTTGGTTCAGTTCGGTTTGGTTCAGTTCGGTTTGGTTCAGTACAGTTTGGTTCAGTACAGTTTGGTTCAGTTCGGTTTGGTTCAGTACAGTTTGGTTCAGTACAGTTTGGTTCAGTTCGGTTTGGTTTGGTACAGTTTGGTTCAGTACGGTTTGGTTCAGTTCGGTTTGGTTCAGTACAGTTTGGTTCAGTACAGTTTGGTTCAGTTCGGTTTGGTTTGGTACAGTTTGGTTCAGTACATTTTGGTTCAATGCAGTTTGGTTCAGTCCGGTTTGGTTCAATGCAGTTTGGTTCAGTACAGTTTGGTTCAGTTCGGTTTGGTTCAGTACAGTTTGGTTCAGTACAGTTTGGTTCAGTACAGTTTGGTACAGCCAACCATGCCCTTATTTGGTAAGCGGAGTGTTAGCCAGACGGAGATAGCCGCGTTAGCTATGTAATGGTGTGACATCATGACAGCCCAACACAGTGTAGCCCGCTATTAATTAAGAATAACGGAAAACAGTAGACAAGGTGAATCTTTAGGATCAGATCGGTAACCCTAGCAACCCAACAGAAGGGTACCAAAAAAGTAGGACGTATGGCTCTCTTATTTTAGTACCATTCCCAACTTTTGAAGTTGGAAATGCCAATAAATGGGTACCATACTGAACTGAACTGAACTGGTCCGCTTGGTGGAAACAGGGCTTATAGAAATGAGAACCGGGCTCCTGTCACTCAACAAAGGTGGGGACTTTTCTATCTTTAAATACCAGGCGGTGCTCAACGGCCAACTGTTATCATTCTCCATTTGCGGGACTGGTATGACAGGGTTTATCACCGAGATACAAAGAAATGATGAAATGAGTAAATAAGCTTCTCTCACCAAAGACGGTCCGAGCAGGAACAGATTCTCTGTTTAGCCAGAATGACACCTGGGACAGGATTACAGTCATGAAACAGGGCATGTACGTCTGGATGACAAAATATCCAATCTTCCTCTTCAGGTAGAAGTGGGCCATCATCACTGTGTACTGTCCTGAGGGGACAGAAAGGAACAAAAAAGAGGACATAAAGTTAGATAGGAACAATAAACAAGGCTTGGCTAATGACGGAGATATCGGCTTTAGGCTAAGCGACGCTTGGTTAAATCTTGTTACCACCTAGTTGAATTATAAATGTGTGATTTGACCTCCTTAAGGCGCAGCAAGGTGCTGGATTACCTTGTTAGACGACATAATCATAATCGGCTGCATCACTTTTTTTTCCCAATAAAAACTTGACAGTTTCAATTGTCTTGAAGATGAATGAAGGTGGTCCCCCTCCCCCCTAGAAAGGTTTATCTCCTCTTCTTATAGTATCATTATCATAATAAATGTTGGAAACTGGAGGATGGAAAGCAGCAGAGGTGGGATAAAAAGACAAAAAAATGAAGGCAAGCCGTTTTAAGTTATCTCAAGTACATGACAATAGATTATGCTGTTAATGTCGCATTGATGGTGTCAGGTAAATTTAGAGGCAGTTTGTGTAGAGAGGGAGAAAGAAATGGGAGGTGGGGTGGGGGCAGGATTCAGTTAAACAACAGAAGATTGCATTTGAGGCTTTAAAAAAATCCTCTTGACAACAGCAGTTAGTGACTGCAGGAGCTGGTAAACTATGAAAAATCCAATGACTATATTGCACACTCTCTCCCTCCCTCCCCGAACTAAAACACATGCACACACACACACACACACACACACACACACACACACACACACACACACACACACACACACACACACACACACACACACACACACACACTCAGAGAGTAATACACGAGGCTTTCTCTGGGCAAAATCGGATTTTTGAACCTCCCTAATCCCCGGTTACAATCTGCATCCTGCCATCAGTGAGAGAAAGAGAGGGAGTGGATGTGTGTGTGTTGGAGGAGGGAGGGGGGGGGTTAAGGCTTCCTGTCCTGGGATCATCACAGAGTTCTAAGCCACGCCCACTCCAGCCTGCCAATCCCGGCAGCAGCGACACACACACACACACACACACACATACACAGTCGGAACACACATGAAGCATGATTTCTAACTGCTGACAAGAGCCACCGCACACGCACAGAAAACACACTCGAGGCAACGGATAGGAACCTGCGTCTAATCACCGGTGGGGATGGAGGGGGGCTAACCGTGTGGACATTCATTATCTTTTGTCTGCTTTTTTTTTTTTTTTTTTTTTGGGATTTGACAGCTCTTTGTGGAATAATGATCAAAACCTCCTTGATCGGACGAGTTGGCATGTGAAAGAAGAAGCGAGTCTCAAAAAAAACTCACAATGAGGAAACAGCTGACAGCAGCCTGAACGTGAGCTTCATTAGTTTGTTTGGAAGGCGCTTTAAGGTGAGGGCAAACAACCCACTGCTGCATACCAAAACAGATCCATGTCACCGCTGCGGCCATGCCCCCGGCCGGGAGATCACCAACACCGTTAGTTTTTCTACCGTGATCCCACCGCCCGGGCCCTCTGACGCCCTCATGACTCCAGTCCGCTTGGCTCACAGCTACCCCATCGACCGCCGCTGCTGTTGGAAACACTCAGGCACACCGAGGCGCTGCCAACCTGGGACGCCCCAGGGTCCCCTTTGCCCTTGATGCATGGATCCCAACAGGACTGGGGGCAGAGGAATGAGAAGGAACATGTTCCTCTGGTGGATCTTACTGCTTTTATCCCAAGGATATATATTTCACAACGTCCGAGGGGAGCTCCCTTTTATGTTGGGGAACAATGCCGCCATGCTGGTCAACTGGTGAGTGAAAAAAGTACAGTTTTAAAGGTAACCAGAGAAGTCCAAACAAGTGATTAGCATTTGGCAAAGTAGCGCAAACACATCAAGGAGAAGTCTTCTTCACAAGCCCTACAGGTCTCTGCAAACTGAAATAGATACTGTAGACAGCTTTGGAGTGAGAGAGTTATTTTTAGGGGAAAGATGTTGCCGTCTGAGACAGGAGAAGCCAGATCCTTTAAAGACAAATTGGTTGGACTAATCTCCTTCTTCATGCTCTGAAATTGGAAGTGTTGTCTAATTTTAGATCTGCCAAGGAAAGGGCTCACAACAACACATCAATCCAAGACAGCCCCGGTAATGGGCCTTCACACACACATGAAGGTTTCATGATCTTTGCTGATTATCACTCGGACGGGACGAAAGCTTACAATTTCTATTTTGTCATATCTCCAGGAATTTCAGAAATGGAATCGTTGACTAACCTAACCATGTGTAGATTCCTAGTCTAATATGCATTGGTGTTTACCATTCCACACATACTCTGCATACATTTTTGACAGACTTTAAAACCATAGGAGTCTCATTTGTGTTTTTTTTGATTGATGCAAATGAACTCTCACTTCGTCAATAACAACATTAGAGAGTCGAGACAATCCTTAATTGACTGCTGCTTTGAATTCCAAGTTCACAAGTGGCTTCATTACCTTGTCTAGACCCCCAAACCACAGCAGGCGACTTTTTCAGGCTTCTTTTAATCAAGCAGATGACAGCGTGCCTCTGCCTTGCCTTTCCTTTTTTTTATCAGCGCAAAGAGAGAGATCTAATGGCCTTCACAGCAAATGCATCTATTTTTGGGACATTTTGTCTCCCACATTATACAACTTTGATGAGTTCTGATGGTGTGCTACCATGTTGGATCACCATGTTTGACTTCCAGAGAGTGTCTTCTTGTTTTCAGTTTTTTTTTTTAAAACCTTGATACTTCACCTGAATGTGGAGTTGTCTACTATTAGATATAGTACTTTGTGGCAGGGTTGTGCAACACACAACTGCTAAGTTTCTGTTAACGTTGGTATAATAGCATCAGGTTGTTACATGAATGCACAAAAAAAGACATATGGCAGTCAAAATAAGTCCTAAACCATATTTGTTCAGTGACAGCTGAATTATAGCCCGACCGATTAATCGACAGGCTGATAATATCGACTGATATTAGCATATCAAGTGACTATCATATCGGCTAAATTTATCTCCGATATATATACCGATAATACAAGATTTATTCAACAGTTAAACGGACTTAGCACTGCATAGACACCGTTCACATGATTTATCGACCAGCCGATAATATCAGCCGATATTAGCATACGGTTAATTTTATCTTCTCGTCCTTACTACTTAACCAGTGTTGCTAATACAATGAATGCTGTACATTACTTATCTATGGTGGCTGATAAGGACAAAAAACTAGAGTCTGACCGATTAATCAGCCAGCCGATAATATCAGATATTAGCATAACCAGTGACTATCAGTATCTGCTCATTTTATCTCTGATATTATTCAATTTATTCAACAGTTGAACAGCATTTTATTTGAGCATCGTTGTTTTACACTAGAGGTTCTCTTTAACTAGCAGTTTGCGCTATATGGATAGCTGTATGAGTCTCAACACTTGATTTCCAACAGTTCAACACTAAATTACCCAGACCAAAGCTTTAAGCTGCAGAATTGATGATTTATTGTCTACAGTCCATGAATGTTCCAATGTTTTAACTACCATGAGCACAGCATACCGGCAATCGTGGTCCACTCTTTGCATGTCAGTGCAGAGTCTTGTTCCTTCTACCTGTTGGTATCAGAGAAAAGTCCCTTGTTTGAACTACACGGTCATACTCCAGGATTTAGGTACATTTTCTTATAAAATGAAGAAACTTACAGCTCCCAAGATTCCCCGAGAGACTGGTGCAATAGACAGGTATTTAAGAATTTAGTTACACCATATAAAGGTGGTAAGTAAGTAGATAGTAAAGTAAAGAGACGTCATAGGAGGCTACAGCATAGAACGATGCAGCATCAAATTTCCAACACGCTAACATTGGCAGCATCATTGATGGCAGAATCAAAGAATACTTTTAGCCTGTCAATCCAATCAGCCTCTGGCCTTTTATCAACACTTAGCAACAACTAGCTAAGTGGTCGAAATGATAACTGATCAACCGCCCAGTAAGAAAACCAGCAATTCAGTCCTCTAGCCAGACAGAAAATTCCCTCCATCAGCCTATGAACCCTTTAACCCTTTTGTTTCAACAACTGAGTCAGCCAGCAGAAAACAAGATTTTTAGTGAGGCTGTGCAAACAGGGGGAAATCCATCCTTTTAAAAAATGATTCTACTAGAAGCTGGGAGGGAAGTGTATTACAGTTCCCTTTTACATAAGAGTTTTAAGCAGATGCCTTTAAAGGCCCCCCCTCCCCCACCTCACCTCCCTCCTCTTGTCAGAGCGAGGCTGTCCAATCCCAACACTCATAATATCACCTTTAAAAAAAAAAAAATGTTTCACCGTAATATCAGCCCTGAAACTGACCCATGGCTCGGATATAGCTCAGAGTTATTTGGGTCATTTGTGTAGCATCATAGTGTACTTACTTTTTACGTTTTTTTTTTTGTTACCATGAATGTGAGGACAGTTGGTACGCTCACAAAGAGAAAATGTGCTGAAAGCCATACCCATCAATACAGATACACTCAGAGACAGCCGACCGACCAATCCCTCACTGATCTGTGATGTCATCTTCTTATGCAAAAGCTGATGGGTGGTTGGATGGGGGGGGGGGATTAACCCTAGGTCTCAGGTCTCTATCTAGCTCCATGTGTGTGGTTGTGTGTGCGTGTGCACACATGGGCTCATGCAGGGATAAGTGTTGTTTGACAGTGCTGTCCGGGCCTGTAGACAGCTGGTTGTGTGAGGGATAGGCTACTCTCCTCCACTGCCCTCCACTCATTGACTCTGATCTCCTGATGTTTCCCACATTTACTCTGCCTCGCATGCCCGTCTCTCCCGCTGCATTTATCTTTATCTAATCTAGAATTAGTTACATCACTTTATGTGGTATTATATTTATAATGCATTGCATGCAGTGTGACTTTACTTGTGAAAGGGTGCACAAGTAAAGCAAAGATGTAGGGTAATTGAACGGGGGTTGAATTAAGATGTGGCACCGTCCTTTTGGCATGGTGTGGATCGTTCTGCTTGGTGTTTCTTCCTTTGAAATAAAAAAAACAACTCACTGTAGTACAGCATCAAAGTGAGGAATCAGATTGCCTGAGTAGTGTTGGTTAAAGTAAGAGCCCGACCGATAAATCGACCAGCCGATAATATCGACCGATATTAGCTTATTCAGTGACTATCAGTATCGGCCAATTTTAGTGCACACATGCGCCGATATTTATCGATTTATACCAGTCAGGCAGCTAATTTGAGTTTCATTGTATTAAACTTGCAGTCCCCTTTACCAGCAGGGTGCGCTATTTAGATTACAACAAGCAACAAGAGTGTCAAGCAGTGATGTTGACTGTTGTAGTTATCAATTATAACGTACAATAATTAAGCGCAAGTGGCGCACAATATTGTCCTCTGCTTGAGCTGCAATTGCCTGTGGCCTGCATTGTGAAGTTAGCAGGCTAATTTTAGCACAGTTTGGTAAACTCGTAGCTTCATTTTGGATATACATATATATAAATGGAATGACTGTGATCTATGACTGTGTGAAAATGGTCCTCTTGTATCATAACAACGAGCTACCACCGCCTGCTGGCATGGAGAGTTATTGCGTCCCATGCATGCGCAGAACGAACGTGGTCGTTGGCCGTCGGCTGGAGTCTTTGCGGTGTGTTCAAGTGCAAATTTTTGGCGCCACAGACGGCCTTCGTCCCCACTATTTCTTTGCCGTCTGCATGGTGTGTCAGGGCCTTAAAACAGCTTTATACGCAAGGCCATCCTCTCCATGTAAACATGATGTTAACACAGCTCAGACAACAACACAGCAGGCGGGACTCATGCTTCTCACTCATTGTAGACAGTCATGACTCAGAGAGACATTTACAGTATAGTATCATTATCACAGTATTATTGTTTTTTTTCCCCTTTCTTCTCTTAGCTGCAGACGTGCTTCTAAACAATCTTCCTTGGCACATTACACAAGGATGTTCT